ACAATACAACTACAGACGTCTAAACCAGAGCCATGGTTACTGGGGCAGGGTCCTGGCTTCCCCACGCTAACCACTAGGCCCCATTCCCCTCCTGGAGTTGGAAAAGAACGCAGGTGTCCTGATTCACAGCCCACCTTTTTCTATCTCACTAACCCCCCCACCCCCGAGCCAGGAATAGAATCCCAAGCTCTGAAGGCTATTTATAGCCATAGGCTCTGGCTAGCTGACCCCTTATCAGCCTCCATCCAGGGTATGGGCCTCACAGTCTCCAGCAGCAGCAGCTACAGCTGCTATCAGGCACTGCCAGGGGAAGGTCCCCATACCACATAGACTGGCCACAGGAAGACATGGCACAGGCCCACCTTGTGTCCTGGGCAGATAAGGAGTCACTTCCTGTTGGATTGGTCCCTGGGCCCTCCTCCCATCAGGCCCCAGGCCCCTCCCTCACTGGTACCTAGGGGAGTGGGGAGATGGGGGCAGGGGGCAGACACTGTAGGGGAGTACAGGAGAGGGAGACACGTGGAGACAGACGGATGGAGACGGACGGATGGATCACTAACACCTAAAGGACAGACAACTGGGCAGACTAGAGCCCAGCCAGGCGTTCCAGGGTTGGCCCACCCCCTGGGTAACCCCCATGCCCACAGATGGCAGGTGCTTGTCTCCCTGACACAGAGGGCAATTCTGGGGTAATCGGGGAGGCAGTGCCCCAGCCAGACCCCGATCCTGCACAGAGTAGGAGGGGAGAGACAGGAACTGAGGGTGGAACTGGGCGATTCGGAGTTACTTCCCTGCATCAGGCCATGACTCAGCCTGCATCATGTGAGAGACTGGCAGGAACAGCAGGGATTGGGGTCTAGTGGTTAGAGCAGGGGGCTGGGAGTCAGGAGTCCTGAGTTCCATTCCCAGCTCTGGGCTGGGGGGGAGTGGGAATTTGAGGTGCCCTAGGGTAGAGGGTTGGGGAACCCCCCTCTCTGATGCTAAGATGGGTGATGCTGGGAATCTCACAGCAGGAAGTTGGTGGCTACTGGAGGGGGAAGTGCGGCAGGGAGATTTAAAGGGACAGAACATCCATGCAGGGGCTCACCCGTTGTGGGGAGAAGCGTGTAAAGTGGGGAGGGGATTTAATGGGAGAGGACACCCCTCCATGTAACCCACAGCAGCAGGGGGACCCCATACTTACCGATCTTATCCACAATCTGCAGCATGACACCCCCAATGTGCACATCTCCGGTGACTCGCAGGGTGAGGGGCTCGGCCTCAGGCCCCAGCTCCTCCACAGCCACGTTCAGCTCCCAGGAGGAATCGATGTAATCCCCGCTCGCTGTCTTCAGCCCGGCCATGGCTAGCCCTGGAACGAGTGCAGCACAAGGGTCAGAAGGGAGACAGGATACGGGAGTTTTGTGCACACCTCTGGAAGGGGAGCAGGGTCTAGGGGGTTAGACCAGGGGGGCTGACAGTCAGGACTCCTGGGTTCTATCCTCAACTTCAATGGTCAGTGTAACAAGGATGAGGGGGAGGCTTGTCCCTTTTTCTCTCTGTATGTCAGTGGGTCAGTAGCGCTGGGGTGGTACAAGGGGATGAAGGGGTGAGAACAACCCCACAGTTCAGCAAGGGACACATCCCACCCCTGCCCATTACACAGAGGGAGAGGATTTGCCTTCCTCCAAAGCACAGGGGGGAGGCAGAAATAGCTGGACCACTGCTCCCATACCGCAGCACTAGGCTGGCCCAGTGTTGTGCTCGGGGGCTGCAGGGCACAGGATCCCAGGCTAGATGGGAGCCAAGGAATCCCAGTCCTGGCAGGAGTGAGGTGGTGCTGGGTGGGCCCTGGGGAGTCTGTCCTGCAAACAGCTGATCAGGCCAGAGAGCTAGCGTCAGGACTCATGAGTTCTATCCCCAACACTGGGAGGGAAGTGGGGTCTAGTGGGTTAGAGCAGGAAGGACTGAGAATCAGGACTCCTGGGCCCATTGCTGACCGGGGGAGGGGGGGGGGAACACACCACCAATCCTTCCCAACTCATTACTTCTCACTCCCCAACAAGAGCTGGCAACAGAACCCAAGGATCCTGACTCTCCATCCCCCAGGTTGATACACAGTCACAGTTTACCCCTGATCCCTAGCTCATAGCTGAAGGCCACAAGGGCTGATACAAATCAGCAGGTGGGTAAATGCCAGGAGCCCCAGAAGTAGAGTAGAGAGCCAGGCACCCAAAGAGTGAGGCCTGGCCCCAGGGACAGCCCCCCCACATCCTTTCAGCTACCCACGAGGAATTCTCCCATGGCTGGGTAGGAAGTGCCATGTGTCTAGCTAGATCACACCTCCATGCAGCCGGTCCCCAACCCCCACCCAAAATGGGGTCCCCTCTTCCACTTCAGTGGAGGATTGTGCATAAGGGCACGTGGCAAACTCGTGTGGGGGGACAGATGGAGTGGGACCTGCCAAGACACTGTAAAGTGGAACCTTCCACCCCCAGCCACCACCATGCAGCCAGCCCCTTACCGTTCCAGGTGTGGGCTCTCTCCGAAGCTCCCGGAGCGGTTAGCTCAACTAGCACCGATAGGGATCCAGCCTGGGCTCTGTATCCCTCCCCAGCGTGCCTGCTGTCAAATCACTCCAGCCCGTTGCTCTAGCCCAAGGCGTTTCCCTTACGTTCCCCCCCCCCCCACTTCCTCTCAGCCCGCCCAGCAGTTTGCTCAACAGCTCCAGGGCTCTGCATTGTGTTTGCCTTGAGCAGGAAGTCCTTCGCATCAGGGCCCAATGGCAACTCAGGCACCTGCTGCGTCCCTGGGATTGCTTTAGAGTAACGCCCACACTGCTGTGGGCAGCCTGTAGGCCCTTCCTAGTTGGGACTGTCTCTCACTTTGTAGCTGAAGCACCTAGTACCATAGGGACCCTGATCTCAGTTATGGTTTGTGTAGCACCCAGCACAACAGGTCATCCTAGCTCAACCCAGGGGGTGGCAATGCCTGGCCCCAGGGGGGGCACCCCTTTATTAATCCACAGGACAGACAGCAGCTATTGGAACACAAAGGGAAAAGAAAGGGAGTCTCCCTATGAATTTTCCTCTGCCCCACTGAGCAGCACATAGTGAAAACACATAGGCAGTGGAATTCATGGCCACATTATTCCATTACAGGCCAAAGGTTCAGAAAGGATTTTAGTTCATTCAGGGGCTAATCAAGCAGGTGGCAAGAATGTATGAGGGGGATGAATAGGGAGCAGAACGCCAACAGGTGTTCAGTGGGGGGAGTGTGCCCTGTGAGCAGGACCCCAGGGTTACTTGAATCTTCCTCTGAAGCAGGAAGCACTGAGGGGAGAGAGGACTCTGGGCCCAGTGGACTCACTGGGCTGATCTGGTTTTGCAGTTCTTATGTTCCCACACTGCTGTTGGCCATTGGAATTTGGGGCACTGTTGAGAAGCATCCAACTGTGTTTGGAGTGCTAGGGTACTTATCACTTCTCCTACCCTGGATCACAGGTGTCTTGCTTCCCTAATTGCCCCTAGGTCACACATTTCAGCAGAGAATGCTGCAGTCCCAACTCTTCTCTAAGCCATTAGACCCCACTCCTAAGAATGGAACCCCAGGAGTCCTGAGTCCCAATTCTGCTCCAACTGACCCCTCTCCTCCTAAACTGAAGTACAATCCTCAAGGCTTGGCTTGTCAATGTAGGACTGCACTGGCTGGCAGTTTATCAACACAACTCTGGGAGCAAAAACAACAACAAAAAGCCTTGATCAGAGTTAACACCCAGCTCCCAGCTGGGCACAGAGCTGAGTGGGCATATCTGGGCAGAAGGGGAATGGGAGTGGCTGCATGGAAAGAGGGTGCACGTCAGACACTTGAAGTTGGGGGTGGGGGAGGAGGAAGCTGATGGGACAAGCTAGAGAGGGGAAAATTTGAGCTGGGTTGCGGGATCCAAGAGGCATTTAGTTTGCACGTGCCTGTTCCTGCACCTCTCTCCTTACAGGAGGGTTTAGATTTGTCCAGGCCATGGAATGATCAATGCACAGGAACAGTGCACAGCATTTTAGAGACCATTTTGGCACATCACACTGGGATCTGAACAACTAAGCCTGCGTCACATCGCTAGTTCCTGTTCTGCGGCAGAGCCCCCTTCCTGCCTCTGTGGGTGCTGTATTTATAGCAGCAGAAGCTCCGTTCAGGCGCAGCCTCTGGGGAAGGGGGATGGGGACGCAGCTGCTAAGGTCCCCCGGGGAAAAGGGTAGGTGCACTCTGCAGCTGGGATCAGCTGGCTGCAGAATCAGCCCACTCGCTGCACTGGGGCTACAGAGTTCTGCCTTTCTAAGGTGGGGGGAAATACACCCAGTGCCACAGCTCCCTCCGCTAGCGGGGAGAATGAGATGTAGCAATGTCCCCCCCGGCCCCATCCTCAGCCCATGTGACCCCCTGCAATGTCGTAAGTACTGCATGACAGGGGAGCGGACCCTGTAGGGCAACAGGCTGGGGCAGGGTACCCCCTAGGGGCAGCTTGACACACCCCTTGCAAAGTGAGCCCTGCTACCAGGGTGTTTGTCATCTCTCCAGGATAGGGCCTTCAAACCAACCACTATCTTCTCCCCTCAAGATAGGGATTCCAGGGAAGAAGCCAGGCATCTCACAACAGTAGAGACTTGAGCCTGTATTATCTGTTCATGAGCTTAAAGGCTACAGGCCAGGATCTCAACTGGTGTCAACATAACCGTCAGCTTGTGACACCAGCAGAGGATCCAGATCCTGCCTGTCTGGCTACATATCGAGACATGTCAGTGAGATTCATACCAGTAAGTGAAACAGGAAGTGACAGATACAGCCACTGACAAGTGAAGCCATGTGCCTTCTAGCGCCCCCTATGGACAGCCAGCCGCCAAGCACGCTGGCTGCTAAGAGACAACTCATGCAACCTTTCTAAAGCGTACATGGACACGTCTAGGATCACAGACCTTCCCTTGTTTGTCTGGTGGGTAGGAGGGACGGACACAGACCCAGAAGCACCGTTGACTGCTTTGCTCTTTTATTGGGAGTGCGGCATGGCAATGCAGTCTCACAGCCAGAAGAACCAGACAATGAACAGGTAAGAGCCGCCACCTCCCAGGCCTCTGCCGAGAAAGAACCGCAGAGGGGAGGGGCAGCTCAACAATGGAACAAGCTGCTTGGAAGATACAGGAACTGGAGAGAAAGTGGCTAGCTGGCCCCGCACTGGCAAGGGTGGTGTGGGCAGCAGGTCCCGTAGAGAGCGTGATACTGTACAAGTCTTTATCTCCTATTGAGATACCCTTTCCTTTTGCTTGTACTGCCAGTGTCCAATGTCCCAGCTGCCCTATGAACAGGCAAAGGGGCAGAGCAGGGTGGCGAAGTCATCACCGAATTGCGATCAAACCAACATCCATCAGCTTCTGGATTTTCTGGGCTATTACTGGGTTCTTCAAGTGTCTGCAGAGAGGAAGAAGTAGTATCACCCCAAAGCACTTGAGTTTGACACTTACATCACCTGCAAGATGCAGCTGCCTCCAGATTAGGGCCCAGTGCCTTTTTATGAAGTATTTCTTGCCTGTGACCCAGCCACCTCTGGGGTGGGATGCAAGGGTGAGGGGTGGCTGGTGTCAGACAACTCTGCTTGAGAGGGTAAAGGAACATCTTGCACATACTTGAAACTGATGGGCTGTAAGGAGTCTAAACTTCCAAGAATGGGGGAAATTCAGCTAAGGCACTGGGGTGAACACCCTAACTCTTGAGAAAATGCTATGGGCTCTCTGTGGTGGACATGGTCCCCTGCCATAGGGACCAGCATGGGATAATGGTTTTGGACCCAACAGCACCACCTAAAGGCTGAGCTAAGCAGTGTTATAGGTTCCTTATGAAACACACCCCATGTGGCTCAGCAGGAAGCACAATGTAGCTCCTCAGGAGACCTCCCTGTGATCTAAGCAGACATCTCTCTACTATACACCTCAGTGATGCCTAGAGCTAGATCTAACCAGACCCAAGCTCCAGTCACCCCCACTTTCAGGCAGCCTCACTCACTCGCTCAGCGCCTGTGGGTCCTTCTGCATCTGCTCCAGGATCAGCCGCATCGCTGGGTCGCTCATGATCTGCTGCACCTCAGGATCAGCCATGGCACGCCGCTTGACCTCCTCGGGGTTGTCATTGCGATTGTACTGGGCCATGAGGCAGCGCTGGTAGCCATCAGCAGCTTCCTGAAGCAAGAACGGCAGGGATAGCATGAGGAGCTCTGTCAGAGCTAGCCACTGTACTCTGGCAGGTGAGGGGCAAGGGTAATGCCATGCAAGGTTGGTTTGGTGACAGGACACAGGCCTTAGACCGTCTCAGTCTTTAGTCCTTGCAACCTGGGCCTCAAGGGACCACAGCCAGAACTGATCGCTACCAAGGAACCTTAGCAAGGCATTTCAGCACAGCTTACCCTGGGGGAAGGGCTGTCTAGCTAGTACATTAAGTCAGTTCAGTTTGGCACAAACAAGCCTGCTCCTACACCCACAGACAGACAGTCGTAAGGTACAGGACCATTGTGATCACCTAGCCTGATCTGCATAATACTTTCACCCAAACATGGAGCCCAATGTTTTGTGGTTGAAAACAGCATGTTATGCTTACATGGCTTGTGTGATAGGCTATGTATAATCTCAACTTTAATTTTAAGAGAAGTTTCTAGCTCTCATGTCTGCAGAAAACCTTCCAAATGGGACCAGCAACAGACAGTTCTGTCTGCCTGAGTCTTCAGAGAGCTTGACAGTGATTCAGAGGGGCCAGTTCTGCTACCCCTCTTAATCTGATTAAAGTGTCAACTTGAGAGCCCCGTTTGTGGTCAACATTAACTAGCTGTAGTGGATGGAATGGAAGTGACACTCACAATGTTCAGGTTTCAGAGTGGTAGCCGTGTTAGTCTGTATGAGCAAAAACAACGAGGAGTCCTTGTGGCACCTTAGATACTAACATTTATTTAGGCATATGCTTTCGTTGGCTAAACCCCACTTCATCAGATGCATGGAGTGAAAAATACGGTAAGCAGAATATATATTATAGCACATGAAAAGATGGGAGTTGCCTTACCAAGTGTGAGGGGGTCAGTGCTAACGAGCCAATTCAATTAAGGTGGAAGTGGCCTATTCTCAACAGTTAAGAAGAAGGTGCGAATACCTAGGGTGCTAACGAGGCCAATGCAATCAAGGTGGCCCATTTCAAACAGTTGACAAGAAGGTGCGAGTATCAGCAGAGGGAAAATTACTTTTTGTAGTGATCCATCCACTCCCAGTCTTTATTCAGGCCTAATTTGATGGTGTCCACACCTTCTTGTCAACTTTTTGAAATGGGCCACCTTGATTGCATTGGCCTCGTTAGCACTACAAAAGTAAATTTTCCCTCCCTAGGTATTCGCCCCCTCTTGTCAATTGTTGAGAATAGGCCACTTCCACCTTAATTGAATTGGCTTGTCAGCACTTGCCTTACCAAGTGGGGGGTAACTCCCATTTTTTCATGTGCTATAATATATATTCTGCTTACTGTATTTTTCCTCCATGCATTTGATGAAGTGGGTTTTAGCACACAAAAGCTTATGCCCAAATAAATGTGTTAGTCTCTAGGGTGCCACAAGGACTCCTCGTTGTTTTAACAATGTTCAGAATGGTGAGTTGTGGCAGGAAGCACAGAGGAGACTCAAAAACCAGGAGAAATAAAGAGGAAAGAAATAAAGTACTGAGCCTAAACGGAAGCCTATTTCCCCACTGAGCAATGAGTCAAGGCGGCAATGAATGAGCTACAAAGGTAGCTGTTATTATAAAGGTTATATCCCCTGATCTCTGTACAAGTCTTATTAACTCCAACAGGGATCCTGCTGGGCATTTATATCCCAACCCACAGACCATAATTAAGCCTAGAATTCAGCACTGTTTCCCAAAGGAGTTTGACATCTCTAAGCTAGCACAGCTCTTTCAGAGGGGCACGCCCAGTCCTGATTTAGACACCAGCGATGGAGAATCCACCACAACCCCAGGAGGCTGTTCTAGTGGTTAATTATGTTCCCTGTTAAAGAGTTACTTTACCTTATTTCCAGTCAATTTCATTCTGTCTTTGTTTGCTACATTAAAAGGCCCTCTACCTACAAGGGGAGAAGATTCCTGAGAGCACTTACAGGCCAGGATCAAGCCACCTCTTTGGCTCTCCAACACCAACCAGCTGCTGGCAGTATAGTACCACTAGGCATCAGATGTTCTCACCTTGCAGTTGGAATCCAGGTCGAGAGCTTTCTGGTAGACATCCATGGCTTTAGTATAGTCTTTCATGGCTTCTAGTGCTGCAGCTTTTCGGGTGTAACCCTTGACTGCAAGCAAAACACAATCCCTTGGGGTTTACGCTTGCTGAACACATCTTCCCTGCCTGTGCTTCCACCACAGGTTCCCTTTGGTAGCAAGGTCAGCAGGGCATGTGAAACACTGATTAGGAACCACAGGCCCTGGCCAACAGGATGAACTTAAGGTATGTTCAGCCTGAACTATTCCACAGGCCTTTACAGTATCAGCCCAGGCTCCCCCCCTCACCTCAGTACATGGTGGCTATTCCACAGTGTCACATGAGACACTAGGCCAGCCAAGGTGAATTGTGCAACTCACCCCCCAGTCAGACACACACAGTCTACTTACTAAATGTAGGTTCTAGCCGGATACATTCTTCACAGTCCTAAAGGAGGGAAGACACCATATTAAGTTCTCTCTCCAGTGAAGTTAACAGGCTTGTCATTTTATTAGCAAAACACCTGACCTGCTTCATACCCATAGGCACCGACTCCGTGGGTGTGCCGGTGCTCAAGCACCCACAGGGCTGGATTAATCTTTTGTGGGCCCCAGCACCTGGACAGTGGTCCTGCCCCATGCTCTGCCCCAAGGCCTGCCCAGCCTCTTCCCCATGAGGCCCTGCCTGCCATTTGCAGAGAGGGGGAAGGGAAAGGGAGGAGAGGAGCACCTATCAGCACTTGAGTTCATACCTATTTAACTGCCCTGAGCAAGAAATGCTGCCATTTCACAACCTGCCAGGCCAGCCAAGAAAAAGCCTATACTTGAGTGTGGAGCTTCTGAAGGGTTAAATGCCTTGGAAAGCAATGTTCAGAGGGATGGTGGGGTTGGAACATAGGGCTGAAAGGTTTAAAGATGTTGGCCCACCACCAAACCTGGGTTGGAGTACAATTAATACCAGCTGTTGTGTAACTAGAGACAATTCTAAGCATGTACTGTCAGCTCTTTATGTCAGGGACTGTTCTGTGTTTGTACAGCACCTAGCACAATAGAGTCCTGGCCTGTGACTGGGGCACCTACAGTAATACAAAGAAATAGTCATCTCTGGGGATGGCAAGATGTTGCCCAGGTTTGTTGCAAGGATGACAGAAGCCCCGGTTTGCTGCTAGCCCAGAGGCCTAGTAATGCATGTATAGGATGGACTCTGAGACAAGTAGCCTTCGGTGCTTACCTTTAGCGCTAGCGGGAATTCCAGGAGTTTGGTATAGCAGGCAGCTCTGTTGCTGTAGAGTTTGGCATCGTTGGGGTTACGTTTGATGGCTTCTGAGTAGTGTTTCATTGCTTGGGGATAGTCCCCTAAGAGGAGAAGAGGGCAGTGGTAAATCACAGGGACCACTGAATGCCTGCACTCTCTCGTAAGCACTGCACTAACCCATTGACCAGAGCATGGCTTAACTCTTCCCTCCTTTGCCAGACAGCCCGGGAACCTGCAGTTCCTCTCAGTTTCAGCTGTAGCTCTGGAAATCAGGCTACCCGATTCCTCATACTCAGTCCAGTAGTGAGGCTAGGCCGACAACATCCCAGCCTGATGCTATAAAAACAGCTAATGCCAGATTCAGTCACACCCCCACAGCAAGGAAAAGAACACCAGGGTACATGAGGCAGGCTCCTTTATGGCTACTGAAGCGACCGACCGACCCACTAACCCAGCCCTGTAGCTCTGGCTAGGTTGCAGGGCTCTTCACTGACTTCTAGTCAAGCTTTGAGAGCCCTCACCCTTCTGGAAACACTCGTTGCCTTTGTTTTTCTCCTCCAGAGCCAGATCGGGGTCGATGTACGCCAATCTCTCCTGCTCTTTCAAGATCTTCTCAGCCTGTGGAGGAAGCATGGTATGATGTAACAGACCCTGTCCTTCTCAGTAGTACCCCCCTCTCCTTGGCAACATGTTCCACTCACTACAGACTGCTCCCTGCTTTTTGCATTCAGGCTGCAGTAGGGATAAAAATGGCCAAGACACAGGGAGACGATGGGGCTTGAGAATGTGGTGCTGTGCCCTGGTAAATGCTGTGGGGAGCTCCAGTGGTCTCCTCGTCCCACACACAAAGCCACCCAGCCCAGCAGGCTCTGCATGGAGTGCTAGGACAGAGTGGCCATGCTGTGAGTCAGTGCCAGACAGAGGTCAGGCTGAGTTACTACAATGATCCACTTTCACCCGGACTGGCTGCTCTCACACAGATACTCACAATCATGCAGCAGTAAGGAATGTGTTCCAGTCGATGGGCAAGTCAGGGGCTGGTGTCTTGTAGTGCTGCAGCCAAGCACCCACCCCGATGCTTAAAACCTCCCCCTTTGTTTGAAAAGATCATGCTTCTAGCCTTCGTGGCTGCAGTGAAAACTTCATGCAACTGAGTTTAACAACTGCTGATGTCTACCCAAGTCTTCAGACAGCCGAAAATAATACCTCAGAGAGGGGTAAATCCCCCCTCCTTGGAAATAATTAATTCTATGGTTCCCACTCTTGCTGGCCACAAGAATTGTGTCTGCAAAAGGAAGACTCGGAGACAAAGGATTAACGTAAGGTGTCAGGGGCTCACAGCTGTGATAATGGGGAAACTTGGCAAAAATCATGTTTCCAATACTACGTGGAGCCCTAGAAGCCCCCTAGCTACAAACATGCTATGGGGCTTGAATTTTAGAGTCAAGGCATTTGAATGGCAGGATGATGTCTCTGCTCTGCCAGCGGGGGAACGCTGTGCAAGTGGGTGCACACCCTACATGCACTAGGGAACACAACCGCACACTCACTTGTTGACACTTCTTTAGCACATCTGGAGTCCGGTGCTCAGCCAGAGATTTGTTATAGAATTGGATGGCTTCCTTGTACTTCTCCTCCTTGAAGTAGGAATTGCCAATCCTTGCGTAAGCTCTGAATGTGGAGAAAGCAGCCAGCATCAAGAGAAGGGCAATAGGGGACAGAAGTATGGCACCCTGCACAATCCTCCTTACTGAAGTTTTTCTCCCTGAACCAGAGGACCCCTGCAGAGGAGAGTTCAGTGTCTGTGGCACAGCGGTCAATTGTGGCAGTGACAAAGCCCAGCAAACTTGTTTCTAGCCACTGGCTAATGACAATAGCCCAGACCCGGGCTGGATTTGAACTAGCAACCTGGAGGTAAGAAGTTTCTTCATGCATGACTAGGAGGCACTTGGATACACCACTGATGAGGGTGCTATAGGAACCCAAGGAGAAGGGCAGGTGGCGAAGATGCCTTCTTTCATAAGCCCCAGCCCCATGCTGAATTCACTCACTTGGCAATCTGTCGGTAGTCCTCCCTGTTCTCACGCCCCACCTCAATGGCCTGCTCACACAGCTCTCGGCACTTATTGTAGTCGCCTTTCTCAAAGTACACCGCTGCAAGGGGAAAAACGCATGAGACCACTTTCTACCATGAGCCCCGGCCAGACCACCTGCATTGTTCTTCTAGCAGAGCCCCAATGCCACTCAAGTTAAGGTTGTGCACTCTTTCTGTTTAAAGGCTGACCCCTTCTACATGCTCTAAAATCCACATGCTGCTCATACTGCTTTGAAATGTAGTGTGCCTCATGGGTAGGGCCCTGAGAAAAATTGAAATTTTTAAAAATTAATACCAGTGTCATGGGGAAAGTAGCAATTTTCACAGAATGCGGCCAGGGAAAGGTCACTTCTGTACTCATTGGTATAAAACCGGCCACTGAGTCCCCCCTGAACTACTGTGACTTTTTCAACAGGTGGAGGAAATGGGCACCTGCACGCACCCATTTCCTGCCTGGTGTGACTCTTAGCATTGAGCAGCAGCATATCAGAGGAGCAGTTTGGGGGGTGGGGGACTTGGCAGCCAATTTTATGTGAGGCACAGTAGCCTGTGCCACCACTGCTTGGAATATGCATTATGAGCTACACTTAGCAGGAAACTGGGGCATGTGGATGTCACCTCCTGCCTCCCCACAGCTGGAAAAAAAAATCATAGCAGTACAGGGGGAGTTTTCAGCAGCTGGTTTTATGTGAGGCACAGTAGGTAATGCCACCATCACATGGCACATGAGCAGCCATAGCCTCACAGGGGAGACAGAAGCGTGGATCCGCACGCACCACGTCCTGCTCGGTGCAGCTCATGTTCTAAACAGCAGCAGCAGCACTGTCCCACACCGCTACAAACTACTGCTTTGACATGACATTGCTACATGCTACAAGTCAAACTGAACATGAAACTGCCACAGATGGCCACTTCTGCCTCCCTGATTAGGTTTTTTTTTTTTTTGGGGGGGGGGGGGTTAGGGGGGAGAAGCGCAGTATTGGGCTCATTTCATGATTTCCATGCAGTCAGTGAAAGTGCAATTTTCTCAAAGCCCTGCTCATAGGGGCATGGGACAAGGTTAGTTATCCAAATTTAGAATAGCTCATCTGAACAAAGAGCTCCTGAGCCCCAGATCCACTGGTCTATCCACTAGACAACACTGCCTCCACAAGAGTTTGTGTGAGCTGAGCAGGGTTGGGCCAGATCAGCATGTGGATGGGAGACCGCCAAGGAACCCCACAGGGAAGCATGCCATCTACTCCATCAGCCTCAACATGGACCGAAGGGGCACAAATGTGGTAAGAGACTCTGTACATATAGGACATACTACAGCCCTTTTGGTAACTCTGGGGACTCAGGCATGTTCCAGGTCAGATAATTCCATTCTGCCTCGCTGCTGTTTCAATGGTTATAACATTCTCCTTAATCTCCTGACCTAGTGTTTATGGGTGTTGACAGACAGATGTCCCATTTCACCCCAGAGGTGGCTGCATCTCAGAGTGTGTGTGGGGGGAGAGAATCTCTTTTAGAGTTAGACTTTGGAAGCAGCACCCTCAAGATCAGACTGGAACTTGCCATTTACCTGCTTGGTTACTGATGTAAGTCATGTTGGTGGGATCCAGCTCTTTAGCTTTGTCATAGTGCTTTAGCGCCGCATCAAAATCTTTCTTCTTGTAGGCCTCGTTTCCCAGCTCCTTCTCCTTCAGAGCCTGAAAGTGGGGGCAGGGGAAAGAGTTAAAAAGCATCTCCAGCTGCCATTGTACCAAGCCCTTCAGCTCTCTTAGGCCTTACAACCCAGATCTGGAGTTCAAGCCATGAGCTGAGGCCTGGCCTATGCTAAGATATCTTTCCAATGACCAGTGCTAGACATTCACAGGCTTTCCTAGCATCCCCCCTTCCCACCACCACTGGAACCAAGGCTTGTGGGGGCACAAATGTTTACTTTGGAGCATGGCTCTTACAAACCCATGCAATCTTAGTATTTCCTGCTGCCAGGAAACAGACAGCACGAGGTTGGAGGGGAAGGTGTTCCACAGTGATGTGTTAGCACTCCTGTCGTCAACTGGGAGCCTTGCTCTAATTACCTGTGTTTCCAGTCCAGCAACAACACATGGAGCTGTGTGATAAGACGACTTGCAGGTTGTATGGAGGGCATCTATGGGTGGACTACAGACAAGGGGCTAGTCTGGCACACTAACACTGTGATACATTCAGGGGAGAGGCGAGCCAGCCTTCTGCATACTAGCAAAGGTTAATGAACTTGCCGATTGGCATGGCACATTTCTAAAATAAAGCAACTTATTTCCTCCCACACTGCAAGACAGCTCAGTGGGGCTTCATAGCCTTAGGCACTGAGCTCTAATGGAAGCCAAGAGGAACTAACGGTGTCTTTGAAAACAGTCAGGCCCCAGTGCAACATCCTTTGCCCAATGAGAAGATGAAGGCTGGGGAGGCCTCGCCTGCTACCAGTTCTTACTTGTGAACAGATTAAGTGCCTGATTTTCTAACAGGATCTCCCCCACCAAAACCTGAGGTATGAACCAGCTGTGGACAGTAGTTCTTACAACAGCACCTATCGAGGTCAGGCCCCTAACCTTGGTTGTTTTATTGCCATAGGAAATCCGGGTGCAGGCAAAACCCAAGATGAATTCTTTGCCCTGGCCACTGACCCTAGTGCAGGTAAAAGCCTAAACACGAAACTTATACCCTCCTCCCAAGCAGGCAGTTGCCCCTTAACAGAGGCAACAGGAGCACCATAGCGATAGCCCGTTAACCTAGTGAACACAAAGGAAACAAGGTGATGCAGCCTCAGGAGAGAAGGGTCTGTGCTAAGGCTCCTGTCACAGGGCCAATGGCCAATCTGAGCTGATCAGGTGATCTGCTGCTCTGCCAGCAAGTTGGAGGGCAAAGCCAGCCAAGTATCTGCTCTGTTCCTGAGACCAGTGCATCTTTATTAAGATGCCTTGCAGCCATACTCAGCCCCCTACTAAAGGGCATTCCCTTGAGCCAAAACCCTCCACCCAGCTTCTTGCGCATGACAGGAAGCTTTCAGCCTAACAGGACCAGGGATTCAGCTGGTGGTACCTGCTTCTTGTTCTCTGGGAGATCCTCTTCCATGGGCTCTGGCTTGGGTTCCTTTTTGGGTGGAGGGGGTGGAGGTGGAGGTGGAGACATGGCTTCATCCTCATCATCCCCACTGCCGAGGTCAACTCCCAAGAGCACACTCAGCGTGGTCATCACTCGTGGGTCCTGCAGCTTCCTGAAAGAGGCAAGGGAGAGGAGTGAGTAGCTGGGAGCCATTCAGACAGGCCCTACAGACCTGGCTTCTAATCTTGGTCAACTGGGATGATGGAATATAGTTTGAATCTCCAACTCCAGGCGCTGGATTCTTCCTGCTGTAGCCTGGGGGAAACTCAGGAAAGTCAGATACCTGGGAACTGCCTTGGGAGCTAAATACTAGCTTTCTATTCCCTTTCTGCAGCACCTTTATATTTTGCACGGCTTGGGCTTCACCTGCATCACTGCCTACTTCAACCCCCGTAACACCCTGCTACTATCCTGCTCTCCTCTACCACATGCCAATCCAGAGCCCACAGACAGGGTCCTTGCCTGCGGCATCTGAGGGGCAGTGTGAATGGTTAGAGTGATCCGTATACACTCTGCCTTTTGGCTCAAGGACAGGGGCTAAAGGGTTATTCATGACTGGGCATCTTGGATCAGGCGTACCCTGGGATGGCATGGTGTAGACTGGGGAGCATGGAGACAGAATGGCTGCAGTTTGCAGAGCAAGGGAGACCCCATGCATGAGGCTCAGGACAAACTACTCTCAAGAGGATGAAACCTTACTCCTCCCAAGATTGAACCACAGCAGAATCACCCTCCGCAGAACTGGGGTAGGTCCAACTTACGTCCCCAGGTCAGAAGGCTTGTTCCGGAGCTGCTCAATCAGGTCTTTGTAGCTGGGGTCATTCAGCAAGGCTCTTGTGCGGGGGTCGCTCTCTAGCTTCTGGTAGAGGTTTGGCATGTTAAAGGGGTTCATGAGCTTCCTCTCTGTGGGAGGGCAGGAACAGAAGCATGGGCGGGTCATTTCAGCACCCAGGAAGCCCAAGAGGATACTTGGGTCTGATACAGGGCATGACATTTCTGCGGCTATAGGGAAGCTGCAGCCTGCATGGCTAACACAACAACCAATCTCTGCTGAGGGATACTTGCCCCTTGACCAGATGCAGGGGTGGGGAGCCTTGTGTCAGTCTCAGCTCAGGGTTGAAGAAGGGGCAGTTTAAGCCCAGTTGCCTGGTGGAAAGAAGGTAGCCCTAGTCCTAATTCCATGGCACCTTTTCTCTCCCATGCTCCTCCTGCCCACCCAAGAGCAGAGCCCAGCCCCTGAGAGGGCACTTACTGTAGGTGCACAGAGGAGTCTGATCTCTGCAACTTCTCAGTGCCAAGCATCTAAGCAGGGTGGCTTGGAAGAAGGCAGTACTTATATTTTAAGTGGAGATCTCTGGCTGCAATTCCTGCTCCCCCAGTTCGTTCCCTTACCCGCTAGCCTGGCTTCCATGTTCTGGAGCCCCTCTTTCAGTTGAGAGTTCCCTGGCTCGTGTTTCAGCCCTTCCTCATAAGTCTTCTTGGCTTCCTCAAAACGATTCAAGAACTCCAGGGCAGCTGCCTTGCGGGAGTAGCCCTGAAAGCGGGAGAGAGGGATACAATAGGGCGGGAGGTCATGAGGTCCCAATAGAGGATGGGATGAGTCCCCACACTCATGGAATTTCAGCATCACTACACCCCACCCCAGACTAGCATACTCCGGCACATAGGAATCTTAGCAGAGCAACCTGCCTCTGCAACATTTAGGCCCATGTCTCCTGTATGGCAGGGAACAGAAACCCCAATATCCTGTGCAGGAAAACAGATACCACTGGAGGACAGAGGTTTGACAAGCACATCTTTGTAAGCTGCCACTGTGTTGCCCATGCCCAGAGCATATGAGTCTGTCACAGCCCCCAGCTATGAGCCTAACCTTTTAGCTCAAGTTATAGCCACGCATGGCTTACAGCGCTGAAGGTCTGGGATTCAGTCCCCAGTCCAACATGGCGGCCAACACATAGAACAGCAGCCACAAATGTTACTTCCGGAGACTGGAAACTGCTCTGATTGAAGAGAAATTCCTCAGGGTTAAACTCAAGACACGTGGGTTCACGTGCTCCACCAAACTAGGTGATGTTGGGCAAATCAGTCTCTCTGTGCCTCATTTCCCCATCCGTAAAACGAGGTTAACAGCACTGCCTTGCCTCGCAGGGAGATTGTGGGGATAACTATGTTAAAGATTGCAAGATCCACAAATACTACAGTAATGGAAGCCATACAAGTACATGAAATAAATAATAGGCTGGGATTTAGTCACCCAACACCAGCTCCTTTGAAGATCTCAGCCAAGATCAAAGGAATTCCTCTTAACAGCATGTTTTCAGAGCACTGAGGGATCATTTATTCCTGGTTTAAACTACGAAGATAACATGGTTATGTTGCGTTACAATACAATTTTTCCCACCACATGTGGCGAGGGAGAGTCAGGCTAACTCCAATTGGCATCTATTGCAAAACATGACTCTCCAATGACCAAGATTTTAAGGCACGAAGTCACCCTTGTGATCAGTCTGACCTTGATAACAACAGCCCTAACATTCAGTCTACAGGCAAAACAACATAGTTTAAGACCCCCAAAACAATCTAGAGCGGGACCCTCACCTTGCCCCACTCTGGCTTGAGCTCAACGGTTTTACAGGCATCCTCCAGCGCTTTCTGGTACTCCCCTTTCTTGGCATAGGCTGCAGATCTGTTGCTGTAGAGTACATGGTTCTTGGAGTCGAGTTTTATTGCCTCCGAATAGTGCTTGATGGCTTCTGCAATGTTGCCTGTGCTCAGGGCTTTGTTACCTTTCTCCTTCAACTCGTTCACCTGTGGAAGGGGGAGCAAGAGTGAGCAGGGGATTAGCATGATCAGCTATGGGTGGAAGTCTCGAAGGGATCCTCTTGCCCTGGAATTATCTTTCCCAACTCACAGCATCACAGGCAGGAGAGTGACTTTAAAGACTGCCCCTTGTGAAGAACCCAAGAGGCAATAACAAGTAGCAGCTGCTTGAAGTCTTACTGCAGTTGGCACTTGGAATAGGAAGAATAATCTTTCACCAGCAACCACTCTGACTCAATACCTGCTTGAAGGGAGACATACTGCCTCCTTTAACGGTCCCAGAAAGGTTAATACAAGAGCACGATCAGCATCTTGACTGCACAGAGATTCAATAAGAACTCAGAAACTGACATGGCTGTTCTATGGAAGTTGTGCAACACCAAAGGACTCCAGATTTCTCAGTCAGAGGTCTGTGAATACCCCAAATCAGAGATAGCCAAGTCTATCCCTCTTGAAATTCTCACCAGCCAGCTACTTCTCCCATTTGGAGACGCCTCATCGATGGAACTCTCCCACATGACTGATTCAAGTAGTTTCAAACAATGCCCAAGAAATATCATCAGTTTCTTGGAAGATGCAGCTTGGGCCAATCAGTCCGTTCAGAGTCAAAGGAAATTTATCTATGATTTAACCACCTAGCGCAAACACTCCAGAGACCCAGAAGTCATCAGGTGGGTAAAATTGTGTAGGTGTGACTTCCCTGCTAAGCGTGAACTGATGGGGAGGCAGTACCTCTCGACAACCCAGCAACTGCTAGCGAGATGTCTCGGCCAAGGGAAGGCAATCACTGATGAGTCACTTCAACAGCACATCAGGTAGGAACTCTCTCTAATGAGCTCCTTAGGAAGGCTGTATATAATATTTGCATTTTTCTCAGCCTGTTACTTCCACTCTACAAGTACTCCATAGCCTGAACTCTGCCAGTACAAACAGAAGCATGTCCCAGTTATATCCAAAGTCTCCCTTCTACAAGGAGTGTTAAGATGGATCCCTAAAAGCTGTGTTCCAATGCTAACTCCATTTTCAATGCTGACGGGGCCTGAGCAATAATGGATCTTCAAATTATATGCCATGAATGGCAAAATAATTACTGCCTCTAAAAGCTTTTGAATGCTCACTCCCAAATTAGCTGACAGCATAAGAGCCTTACTATTTGGGGCAGAAGCAGAAATAATCAAATTTTTTAAAAAAAATTGACATTCTACTTCAGTGTTCAGGTATGTGACAAAACTGGCACTCCAGTTTCCAGTGCCAGGGTTTGAGAGCTCAGAGATGGTGCTACAAATTAAGAACTTTTTTTCCATTTTAGAGCTGGATTTACATTCTGACAAAGGTCATAAGCAAAAAGTTTTGGTGGGCCTCATCCCAGTTCACAGTGGATTTTTGTATGCAAGATAAAAAGCCAACACATAATTGTGCAAAAAGCTGGGCTTTTTTTGCTCAAGTCAGGGACCAAGATAGGAAATGAAAAATGGCATTGAGATAAATCAGGAGTTATGTCTGCAGGGGCAGGAGACAGGAGGAATTCCTTGAGTGGAATGGGGAGGCAGTTGGGATTGACAGGCATCAGCAAAGCTGTGAGGAAGTGGAACTTAGGGCTGGGATAGTAGGGTCAGGACTGAAGGGCATCGGCAGAGCTGTATGCAGAAAGACAGGAATAGCGGGATGGGGTCTTGTAGTTCAGGATTGTGGGCCATTGGCAAGGCTGTGCTTGTGTAGGAGGCCTCATCCACACTATACCTAGGCTCTAGTAAGCACAAGTGCCTCAGTTTCATTAGTTCCACAGCAACATGAATTTTAGACCAAGATGCAAAGTTAAACTCAATTGCCCAACTCCAAGATAAAGCAGCTCCCTCAGGTCGGTGATTTGCTGTGGTCCAAGAAGCAAAGTCAGCTGTGCAGCTAGAAGTTAGTGGAGAAAACAATTAAGAGCCTTTCGCCCATGCGAAAGCAACAGTCTCTCTTCAAATGGGACAGGTAGGAGGGAGATTCTGGTGACATTTATTATGCCAGCTGTACACCTGCTCCAAACACTCCCTCCAATACAGATACCCCAGGGTCTCTCTACTGCACCTTAAGAAGCCTTGTTTAAACAGCAGCTCAGCTATGTACAGCTCCCATCTCCAGCATGGGAATGCATCCTTCACCTCCTCCCCAAACAGTTTAACGTTGCTTGGAGACCTTAACAGCTACCCAACAAGAACAATTACTCCTACCTGGGCACAACTTCTATGGTAGGGGTATGAGGCAGGGGTGTTTATGCATATGCAGAGGTGAGGCTGAAAATAACGGGGACAGTACTTTCGTCCCAGCTACCAAGCAACATATCTCCAGACAGTTCCTTAAACAACCCAGATCATACACATTTAGTTCACATCCAACTCAGACTCCCTATGCTGCCCCCTTTACTATCTCATACATCACTCTATCTCCTCCTACACTCCTGCTTCCCGGGTACCCCACCACCACCAACTTCCAGGACTCTTAGCTACCTTTTCTCACAGCTGTTCCACTCCCAGTGCCCCAGACTGCTCTTCGGTAATCTACCCCACCCCCTCAAATCCCAGCCACCCTCTCCTGAGTGCTATTACCCCAGCACCCACACTCACTTACTTGGCCCCCTCCCTTTCAGGCTCAATCTAGAGAAAGATAAAAAGTGTCTTAAAACCATGTTAGCAAACACATTTTGACACTCAAATGCAGCCAAGATAAGATGGTCTTTGACATGTGTTAGCTAGCAGAGCTAGGTCGTGGGGGAGGGTTTACCACGCTAAAACACAGCTTGCCCCTGTCTACGCCAGGGTGTTAACATGTATCCGGCAACAGGTTCTTAAGAGACACCCTTTAACCTAGTTTAGGCAAAGTCTCCTACTCCAGGGCCCAGCAGTGACTCCCTGGCTGTGTCCCATCCCCCACCCCCCAAACACCTTCCCCGGGCTGTTCCTTCCACCCGGACACCTCCCGCCCCCGCTGGTCGCCTGAGGGAGTCTCCCGAGGCTCCATCCCTTGTAGATGTCAACCCCTGCCGCGGGCTGCAGACAGCCAGCCCCGCATCCCCCTACCCCCACCTCGTGGGCTGTCCCCCCAGATCCACCCACAGGCCGCCCAGCCCCCGCCGCGGCTGCCCCCCAGCTCCCAGGCTCCTCCCCGCGGCTGCCCCGCAGCTCCACACCCCCAACAGGCGCCCCCTACAGTCCGCCCCACAGCCTGCCCATCTCCCGCCTTCACACCCCCAAGGGGTCCCCCAACAGCCCCGCCCCTCACCTTCTCCATGGCTCCGGCTCAGGGTCCAGCTCTGTCTCCGGGACACTGCCGGTTAAGTCTTCTCCGGCCCGGCCTACCCTGTCTCACGCCGCCTTCTGGAACCTGCTAGAAGCCTCCTGAGCCGCCCTCGCCGCCCCATTGGTAGGTGCACATCCGGGCCCCGCCCTCCCAACGCTATGATAGATTAGAAGATGTGTCGCTCACGGGCCGGGCCGGGCCTACTCCCCGCCTCCGCGGCAATGGAGGCGGGGATCATTGCGATAAGCACAGTGATAGGTGGAAACAAATGTCAAGCGACAACTAGTCCCGCCTACCCCGCGTCTCATAGGTCTGGCGGCATGCCAATTAATATCACCTCGAGGAGCTCTCCTACCCGCCCTCATTTTGATTGGATGTCAGCCTTGTACCGCGCCCCCTGCTCTGCCCATCTGATTGGCCAGCATCTCCAATAGCCTCAGCAATTCTCAAAGTCCATTGGTCTGGAGACCCCCTCAGGCTCCAAAGGACGTACCCATTGGTTAGAGACCGTTTCTGGAATTTTCCATCCTTTTCATTGGGTCTCAGGAACAAAGTGACGACATGCGAGGAGCTGCATCCTGATTGAGCGTAGCGGGTTTGCGTCATCAAGACACCATCCCTTATTGGGAGACTCCAAGAAGGGGGGAAGAGGTTCTGAATGTATAGCTTGCCTGGTTGAGCTGGAGTTCCTAAGGAGTGGTGGTGGTGGTGGTGTGTGAAATACTTGTACGTGCTTTCCACGGCCCCTAATACCGCTGGGTTTTTTTACATGTGCCTTGCACACCCTCCACTGGAGAATCTTGTTTGCATGTACCTTGCAGGCAGCCCTGAGGTGGGGGAACAGGCTGTGTTGGCCTCCCTCCCATGTGATCAATGTGTAATTTTCACTTAAATTCTCTTGAGCTTTTGCACCCGGCCCGTATTTTACACGTGCCATGGGTGCTGTAGTGCAACTATTCCAGTCCCACTTGCCCAGAATTATTAGTCTTTGCACGAGATTCATTGTAAATGAGTAAGTGCAAAAATTTGCGTTCCAGGTTTAAAAAAGTGTCCCATGGTATGCACACAGTACAAAATTTGTACATCATGGTGTGACAGTTATTGCAACCACATGCAGTGTTTTTGAAGACTATATTGTATTCAGTTTATGAATGTTTAGTGTATTGTGGGCCAGGGACTGTATGCAACTCTATGGGATACCACAGCTGCTCCAGAAACAAAAAGCCTCAGAAATTGTAACCAGCTCCAGAAAAATAACAACCCTTGGGTGTTTTCCATATACGTATACTGGTTCAGGCTGGGTTTTCCAGACACTAAAAAACAAAGACTTTTGGTATATAAAGGCTGAGTTTTGAGAGACTGGGGGGGTCTCAACCCTTGCTGAAAAGTTGGAAAGGCTTTGACTAAGACTCCATAAGACTTATGGGTAATTTCTGTTATGTTTAGTAAACATGTAGGAACTTTTGTTGTTTGTTATATTTTCTCTAGGGTTTTTTCTTTTGGTCCTTAAAATGTACTCTGCTGAGAAAGACCTGTGTGGTCACACCGTTAAAAACATGAATTGTCCTCGGAGAGAAAACAGCCCAGGCACTAGCCTTCAGGCAGAAAGGCTGGCTGGCGATGTTACAGTATATGGCAAGGGGCTATGCAACTGCAAACTTAAAACTCTAGGTCAGCAGGGAGTGGGATAAAGGTCCCTGCCCAGAGACTGGTGTTGGTTGGAGCCCTGAGCCATGACTGGGCACACCTGGAGGGACCACACAGATGAAGAAAATAGGTGCAGTTACCCTGAAACTGTGACACATGGCATGCAATGTTATGCAAAATGGGTATATGCTAAAATTAGGCGCTGTGGTGTGTACACTATAATTTTGTAAGTGCAGTGTACAGCAAAGAGCATGGGTTGCATAATTTCTGTATACTTGTGTATTTCCCAGGGCATGATTTTTGTATACAGTGCACATGCCTTGGGGCACGTTCCGTACATACATGTACCTTTGCATGGATTTACCCCCTGCAGCAATTTCACTAACTCAGTGTAACTCCTAGGAGTTTACCTGATGTCATACACCTGCCGGGCTGTTTTCCTCACTGGACACAAATCTCAGCTTTGTTTTCACAGAGGAGTTTCACAATGGGAAGCTCTTATAGAAGCTGAGTGCAGACTACTGGGCAGCTTTCTGTAAAACATTTGTAGGAGCTGATGTGGGGGAGGAACAGGAAATCTGCTGCGCTTTTGGTGCATTATAACAAGGAGAGTGTGGGGGACAGAGTCAGGACTCTTGGGTTCTATTTCCAGCTCTGAGAGGCGAGGAGGGTCTCATAGTTAGAGCAGGGAGGGTCTGGGAATCAGGACTCCTGGATTCTGTCCTTAGATCTAGAAAAGAAGTGGGGTGTAGTAGTTAGAGCAGGGAGGCTTGTAGTTAGGACTTCTGGGTTCTGTCCCCAGCTCTGGAAGAGCAGAGGGGTCTAGTGTTCAGAGGGGGGCAATGGGGAATCAGGACTCCTGGGTTCTGCCCCTTGCTCTGCTAGTGACCTTGGACAAGTCATTTTGCTGCTCTGTGCCTCATTTTCCCCAGGATGGGGAATAACACTGATTTATCCCCAGGAAGTTTGCAAAACTATTGATCACTGTGAAGTGCTTTATAATCCTCCAAAAAAAAAAAAAAGGACCAAGCAACAGTATGTGGTGATAAATGCAGAGCTGAATCTTGAAGGCTTGCTCTAAGAACTGCAAATCTTCCTAAATTAGGATTTGGGGGCATAAAAGAGGGTGCCCTGCTCTTTGGATAGCATGGATCTGAAGCAACCGCCCAAGAGACTAGCAAAAGGCCAGGTCTCCCAGCAAGCAGTATCTATCTGTCTTCTGGTGTGATTAGCACTGCTAAATTTAGTAGGGTTGCCAAGGCACCCTGCAAACTCAGGAGGCAAAGATCTATTTATAGATTAAGCTAACCTACTGTGCTGTTAAAATGTCCTGGGTGTGTGAGTGTGTGTCCCCTTTGCAAATGATGGCTTTTTAAAGTATGGTAGTTAGTTGTTTCCTGGTTCCTGCCCACAAGCAGCTTAGAGGCAGGTTGAGAGCAAGAGTCACTGAAATTAAAGAAGAACAGGAGGACTTGTGGCACCTTAGAGACTAAGAGTCCTCCTGTTCTTCTTTTTGCGGATACAGACTAACACGGCTGCTACTCTGAAATTAAATTACATCTTGTTTTGCCTGGGATTCTGGGAACTGTAGTTTGCAAAGTTGGCTCCAAAGTTTTCAGTCTCCCAGTTTTCAAAGTTAAGCCTGGTCCCAAGAGTCTGAGGGGCAAATGTGGAAGAATTCTGTTCTATGTTTAAGCGCAGCGCTTTACCGACATGGGTGAATTAATCCCCCTGTGTGATCTTGGGTGATAAATAATGTTATCCCCATTTTATGTATAAGGAGCTGAGGCATACCGGAGGGAAGAGTCTTGCGAGAAGTCAAACAGCTAGTCACTGGCAGAGCTAGGGATAAAACACAGGAGTCCTGGCTCACAGGCCGCCCTTGTTGTTCTAACTCACTAGAGCTCACTCCCTTTCCAGGGCTAAGACTATAACCCAGGAGGCCTGACTCTCAGCTGTGCCCTGCTCTAACTTACTAGACCACACTCCCCTCCCAGAGCTGGGAATAGAAGCCAGGAGTCCAGAATACAATACTACAATGAATGTAATTATTGAGGGACAGAGTGGTCCAGTGGGTAGGACTGCAGCTCAGGACTCCTGGATTCTAGTCCAAGGTCTGCTGTAGACCTTTCTCTGTGTGCCTCTATTTCCCCTCTCCCCTTTTGTCTAATTGGACTGTCAGCTCTTCAGGGAAGGGACTGCCTGTCATTGTGCATTGGTGCAGCACCCAGCATGACAGGGTGCAAGTCTCAGTTGGGGTCTGTACAGCACCCAGCACAACAGGGGCGGGGCTGGCTGTGCTACCATAATGCAAGGTGCGGCAGGGGCACAGTAATAGTAAAACCAGCTAACAGCAGGGAAGCACATGGTCATCGTAGGCCCTGTTGCTGAACTCAGGCTCTGGATCCCATTGCGCCTGAGATGCCATCCCAAGACACTGATGGGCTTTGCTCATCTCCCTGAGTTTGCTGCATCAGGACTCTTTATTGGGAAGGAAGAGGAAAACTGCCAGAGCCTGGACGGGGGTGGGACTACATTTCCCAGGATCCCTTGCACACAGATGGGCAGGTCTTGCAAGTGCAAAGCCCTTGGTGAGTTTCAGTGGCAGCGCAGCAGCAATTTTGTCCTCTCTCCCACCCCCCTTTGCAAGCCAAATACCAGGTGCAGTAAATAAGGGAGAAGAATTTCTCTCGACTGCTCAGGGACCAACCAGGGAAGCTGGTCTGGGAGACCCAGTGCATTCCCTTCTGTGCTACTATGCCAGGGGTTCTCATGACCCTGCTAGGCAGGAGACTGTCTGGAGCTTTAGGGCAGCTTCTGGGGGGCTGGGGGAAAGGCAGGATCCCTTGGGTGGTGGGTAGTGTCAGGAGGGGCACGTGGAGCTGCAGGGAACCAAGCACTAGCAGCCTTCCCCGTGGCACGGTCCAGTTGGTATCAAGAGCCTTCCGGAGCTGGGCAGCTGCTCCCCCACTAGGCATGGCGGCTAAGGTGGATCTGACCACGTCCACTGACTGGAAAGAGGCAAAAAGTAAGTGTGAGGGTGTGGGTGTGTGCGCGCGCCATGCCCAGTTACCCCTTCCCTCTGCCATGCCTCCCTTTAGCTGGGCATCATACAGCCCTTTGCAGCATGCCTCCACTTAGGGCCACTTACCCTGCCTAATTTTGACCCCAAGGGCATTTGTCTCTTCCCTGGGCACCATGCAGCTGTGCAGGGAATCTGAATACCAACATGAAGTCCACCCCCAGGTATGGAACAGCTGGAGGCCTGTTGCCACAGTGCATTGGGTTAGTTAAAAACTGATACAGCTCTTCCAACATCACTCATCTCTGCACCCCGCCATACAGCATAGGTAGGAATCCCATAATGCCTTGTGCCGCCTCAATGCATTGTGGGTGATTTGTGGGATCCCCTTCTGGAATTGTGGGAGTGCGTGTGTGTGTCAATACTCCCAGCATCCCTTGTGCCATATCCCAGAACTCACCTGGCAGT